CATTTATTACTTTCTTATTTAGAACCATTCCCTTAATGTTGTTCTCTTCATGTTTCGGATTCTTACCTTAAAGTTACATGATTTCATGTGCTTCTAGATTTATGTTCATCAAAACATGTTACCAATATATTCTTTTCCATTTTTTTAACACGTTTCTATTATTGACCAAAACTTATTATTTTTTCATATTTCTCATTTTGTGAGTTTTACTTATGATACTTTTTAGCTTTTAATAGATTTTAATCAATAATATACTGGTTTTTTAGTATTATACAGTATTCCTCTCGAGAAAAACACGCCATTTTATTTTAAACTGATTTACTTTATTCCTGTTCTCTGTCCTTTTATAAAGGCATGATTTTTTATTTTAAGAATGATATTCTGAGATTACGAAAAAGAACATATTCGATAATGGTTTTCAACCTCAGCTTCAACGTCTCTAATCAATGCGATTGAAAAATTAAATCAAAATATTTAAGTTAATTAAATGGTGGCCTAGTTAGATGCAATATTATCTTAGATATTACAATGAGAAAACTATGCATCCCTCCAAAGTCATTCATAAACAATTTTCGTATATTTTAATTAGAATTTAAATATAGTGGTAGAATATTATATTGGAACTATTAGTTATTTATCAACGAAATAACTCATACTAATATTATAGTTGAAAAGTTAGAACAGGCAAACGCAATTTTAACATGCCCTGTATATCTAAAACCTAAATTTGTCTAATCATGAGGTATCTGCTGCCCTATAATTAGTTTCTAATAGGAGATATCAAGAATATTTTATGGCTACTTTAACAAGAAGGTGTAGTAGTGGTTGTTAAATTTTTACTTCACTTTAAATAATTTTTTTATTCATTGGTCTATATCAAAAGTTTAATTTCATTTACAATGTTCTCATACATTCACTTTTCAGATTAAAAACTAAGAAAATAATGTGAAATGAGTAAATGATATTTTATTTATTAAAGTAAACTTTTCCTGATTAATTGCTATAATTAAATGCTTTTTATTTTTTTAATTTTTACCCTCAAGATGATTAATAGTGCCCAATCGAACTCGAAAAGAAGATGAAAAAAAAATATTCTACCTAAACTTAGAATCACAAATTTATAAAACTGATGGAACTATTGACTGGAATTAGATCCTATGATGATATAACAGCAGAACTCCACCAACAAAAGTTCACATATATAATCCACTTTTACGAATAGAAATGTCAATGCATCCTTCGTCACTTTTTGTTTCTCCTGAACTTTTGTTTTTAATAAATAAAAAAAGAACAATTTGTTTTAATAGTGTTAAATACTTTTAAGAAAAAAAAAATAGTGTAAAAGTATAAACTATCTTCATTTTCTTCTTGTAATAGTAGAAAACTTTTTTAAGAACGGTTCATAACTTTTACCAGAGAATTTAACTGATCAAATATTTCATTATTATTTTGTGAAGTGATGTCGTTAAAGTTAATAATTATATATTTGAGATATTGTTTTGGAGACTAGAGTTCTGTTACAATCTTATTTTTAAAAAACATCTACGAGAATTAAAAAATATATATTTAAACTGTTTTAAATTTCGAATCTTAAATAATATGAAACTATTAAATATAATAAAAAATATATTAAATAACAAAAGTGAAATGATGGTGATGAACCTTCAAGAAAATTTGTTACCTTATTGGAAAAAAAGGTTTAAAATAAACAAAAGATAAGAGACTTTGTTCAAAAGAAATTATCAAGTTCGAATTTATATCTCTTTATTTGAATAAAAAAAATTATATTCCTTTAGATATTTAAATATATTAAATTTAAATTTGTTCTAATTTGTTTAATCTTTGAATAAAAAAATTCAAATTTATTAAATTTTATTGTTGTTTAGATAAAATATTTTAATTACCACCAAATTTTAAAATTATTATCACATAACATCGATCACGTTGATTTAAAAAATTTGAAGAATTTCAAATTCTTATATTTTATATGAAATATAAAATTATTTAACTTTAGTTCATCAAATTACTATCATATAAAAACTTCTAAGAATTTCAACATTTAAAATTTCTTATATAAATGGTATCTTAACTTTATTGAAAATTTCAATTTTTTTAATAAAAATAATTACTTTTAATTTTTTTTCATCTAAAATATATTATTTGAGTTACAAATTTTAATTTGAGTAAACTTTCTATAGAGAAAAATGTAAAAGACTAAAGTATTTTGTGGAATTAAATTGGGGGTCATAATTAAAATTAAAGCCAATTAAATGACAGCAACATTTGATTCTTCATGGGATCATATTAAGAGTCAGAACACAGTTTCGGTTGCTGGAGATTCTCTGCTAGATATGTTTTTTGTGACACCGGGCACTGACGAAGGTGGGAAGTGATCGCCGATGCAAAAGACACGAAGTGCAAGGGGCACGGATAAAGAGCAGCTCCTGGCAAGCTTTCAGTGAAAGGGGTACATGGACGAATCGAACATACACCGGAATGAGAGGGATCTAGAGACTATGTATAGGTATGAGACTATACAGTTGAAGGAGAACTTAAAGGGATTGATTTGGCTACTCATATCATCAAAATGCATTTACTTTTCGGTAGCCTGACCCATAAGAAGTTTTCCCGAAAAGTGTGCGAGTGAGGACAAAGCACATTGGAAAGCCTCGTAATGATGTGTGGGGACAGTCGATATTCCCGGTAAGTTGCCGGGGCGTTGCCGGGGCGTTACATTTTTTCTACGGTACTATGTTGTAAAATATATTAAAAATAAATTTAATACAAATTGTTAGTATTAAACTGTGTTGAAAATTTCACAGTAATAAAATTATTTTAGAATATATAAGTAAATATAAATTTTATATTACAAATTGATTTTATACAATTAGATTAGGTTTAAAATTTACCTTTCAATGTGATAATAAAATTATAGATTAAAATATAATAAAAATTTATGTTTGTTAAATATATTATTTTATTCTTACTTCATCGTTAAAATTAAATTTAAAGTTTATTTTAACAAAGAATAAAAAAATTAACACAAAATCTGACCTTAGATCTATAGTGTGAATTTGCCAAGAAGAAGAACCATTGTTTTGTAAATGTTCTTAGCATTAATATTAACTTCTTATCTATTGAATTAGATAATCAAATCAAATTAAAACTTTAATTCTGGTTCAGAGTGAGATGTTATTAATAACTTCAACATTAAAGTTAATTTCTTTGTATGTGGGAATGTTCTTAGCTACTGCTCTGTCATCGAATTGAAAAGAGAATAGAAAGATTGTCAGCCACTTCAACTTGTGTAAATAGGAATGGAATATAAATAGATTGCATCCTTTTCTTTCTTATCGTTCTTTTTCTTTGTCGTCACACCACTCAATCTAAAATTAGTTGCACCCGCAATTAATTAATTAACTATTGACGTAATTAAATTTCAATCTAGAATCAATTTGATTATTTTTAATTGATTTATTATCTTTTAAGTTACAAAATGTACTTAATATCTTATCCTTTCAATTTATTTATTTATTTTCACATATTAACGTCAAGTTTTGTAATTAATAATAAATAATGTTGTAATTAATATGTAAAATTTATATGTGCTTTTTTTTAATTTAATTAAAAACATAATATAGAATAAAATTATTATGTTTATATAACTTTCACAATAGTATTAAAGACTTTTGGTTGTCACCACATCTATATAATATACAAGTGACTATCGATTTTTATTATCCAACACATTTTTCATAAAATAGTTAAAATTATTTGTTTTTATTAAGATAATATTGTCTAAAAATAATTTATTTTGCTCTAAACTATCTTAAACTCCAAAGACAATTTAAAATAAAAAATTAACATACAACTCAAATATTTCAAAAGCAAACTCAAAAAGCAAATAAATAAGAATGATGATAATTTTTGTGTCACTTATCTATTTATAAGATTATAGTGTTGAATGGATAAATTTATAATATTTTACTCTCTTTAAACATCTTTCTCTTTATTCTATTTACAATACAATAAAAAAAGTGTTAACTAATAATATTAAAAATAATAATAAATAATTAAATTAAGCTAGGTGGGTTGGTAAGCTATTCAAAAAAATCGTTAAGAGATACAAAGACATTCTTAGAATCTTTATTCACTGCTTTCTGTTTGACCAATCTTTATAAGCATCCTTTGACCTCGTATAAAAGACCATATCACCTGTATCAAAGTCAATGGTTTTAAGTAACAAATCTTTCTTCAAGTTGTCTATATATATAGAAAACCACACAAAGAAAAGAATACAAGAATTACAAACAACTATAACTCAACATATTTCTTATGTTGCCAAAATTCTCTTTCTTCTTGTGTTGTTTAGCCTTTGAGAAAATCTTTGTAACATATCTTTTTAGATATGCTTTGTATTGATCAATATTCTCACTAAGAGGACTTTCTATCTATGATTGTTTTAAAAACACCCTATTATTTTTGGATAATCTGAAATAATTTAAAACACTTGATTGTTTAACTCAAGGAGAATTAAACAGTTAGTGTCAGTTGGACTATTATAAACTAAAATTGATGAAACTCTTATAACCTTTTAAAGTTAGTAGTAAAACCCTTTAAAAATATTTAAAGGAGAATTGTTCAACAATGTATGTCTGTAGACAGTCTTGACACAGCGTCTAACACTAATTGCAAAAAGTTTTTCATACTCTATTCAATTTCCCTTTTTAGATTTTTCCTATTAATATATATATACACACACATGGTTAACGAAGAAGTTTTATTTTTAACTCCTTAACAGTTAACTCTAACCATGGTAAGAAATCAGCTGGAGCAACTAGGCATCCATTAACAGCTCTTCAATTGAAAGAATGTGATTCTGTACTTTGTGTGTGGTATGACTCATTTACTTAGAAAACGATAATTAATAATATTTTCCCACCACTATACTTTGTTGCTCTATATAAGGTTCAAATGTTAAATAACACACACATATTCCTTCACTAAACTCCAACTAATTTTGTTTTTTCATTCCACAAAGCTGAATTAGCATCATGGGAGCCAACTTTTCGACTTTTGAGTTTGTGGAAAAATCATCAGACTCATCATCGTTGATCCTCACCTTCCATTCCACTGCTAAATGGAACGCACACTTTCATGCCTCCAAAGAAACTAACAAGCTCGTAAGTTTCATATAAATTCAGCTACAACTTCCTTAAATTATCAAAATTATGGCTTAATTACATCAGACAATTCATCAATGCTGTTTTTTAATTTCTTAAAGTTGGTCATCGACTTCACTGCTACGTGGTGTGGACCTTGCAAAACCATGGACCCAGTAATAAAAGAATTTGCTGCAAAATACACAGACGTGGAGTTCATCAAGATTGATGTGGATGAGTTGATGGTATGATGCGCATAATTTCTTTCATAACATATATATACCTTCATCCGAACTTAATTTTACTTACAGAATTTAATTTTCGTTGATAATATAATTAACAATCTGTTTTACAGCATGATCTATGAACACATAGTAATATAAAAATAAGTGCTATACGAACGATTTTGTTTAACAGAAACATATTTATGATACACTGATGGAAATATGTGTATATATACATGGAAACAGGAGGTCGCACAGGCTTTCCAGGTGCAAACAATGCCAACATTTATACTGATAAAGAAAGGGAAAGTAGTGGAAAAGGTTGTGGGAGCCAAAAAGGAGGAGTTGCAGAAGCTCATTCAGAAACGCAGGAATTGATTAGTGCATGCTTGCATCTATCTCGTACTGCAGTAATAAAGTACTTTGGGATGACTTTGGATTATATATATATATATATATATATATATATATATATATATGTATATATATATATATATATATATATATATAAAAAAAGAGAGAGATAAAGTGTATGTGTCTGAA